GGCATCTCCGCGCACCATTTTTCCTTTCTTTTTCCCCTCCTACTAACCTTCTGCCTTCCCTGACTGCAGATTCGTGTTCGTCAGCCTTCAAAACCACAGGCTATCAACTCCCCTCATCAAGTCTCGTTAGGAAATAGCCGTGCTACGGATTCTCTTTCCGCCGTACTCTCCAGCCCGACGTCACTTTTCCCTTCATCCTCCAAATGTATCTGGCGCAGAACCGCGTCCACGTTCATTCCGCTTTCCTTACTTAGCTGTAGCCAGGTGCTTCATCTGTAGGACATGACCCCCTTCTGCTGTTTGCATGAGCCGGCTGCCCATAGCCTTGCTGAAGGTGAGCTCCTCTCTCTTCCTCCAAACTCCCTTCCTCTCCGACTCCCCGCCGTCCCTTCGTTACCTTCGAATGCACCTAGCGCAGGCCTGCGTCTAGGTTCCCTCAAATTTTTCCTCCTCTCCTCGATTGCTGCCAGCACTTTTAGTTGCACAGGGCAACGCCCATCAGCTCCGCCATGTCCCTTTCCTTTGTCACTTTCACACTCCTCATGGCACACTACCCTGCAATTAGCTCCTTCAAGAGGTCGCACAGCATTTGGCAATCTACCTCGTGCTACAGCAGCAACAGTGACGGGCGGTGACCCGGCTTTATACTTGTCCTTCCTATGAAGGGACCGTGTCAGCCTCTTCTGTATCGTTCCAATTTTTTAACAGATGTCCCGTAGGACTATACCACAGCCTGGTGGTATCTGAATGGTCCGTGAGCGTACCTACTAAGTCGATCTGAGCATTACCGTCGGTCCACAGATCGGTCCCGCCCACGTCCCATAGTGGGATAAAAAACAACAAATAAAATGAAATCATAAATTTAGGGAAAAAAAATAAAAATAAAAAAATCGTGACTTAGAAACTTTTGGGAAAGAGGGCGGAGGAGGGAGGAGGACCGCCGACACTTGGTCCTATCCCAGCGGGCCCGGTGTCGGAGTCCCCTAGCAAAACTAAAAGGGATAGTCCCGCGGGACCCTCAACCCCCTAGTTCCCTTCAAACACTCCTCCGCTACTTCACTGCCCCTTGCTGGCCTTGATCCCGAGATCCGCCTGGTGAAACTCCAACGCCGTAATCAATAGGGCTAAGCCCCAGCCTGATGGTAGCAGGCGCAAACTTACCTATAAACAGTATCCGCAGATTTCCTAGGCCTGCGGAGGCATGCCAAGCCCACAGCAAGGCATGTCCCCCAAGCCATGGCTTTGCAGCGCCGTACAGCACCGCCTTSAGGCAGKCATTTGCRTGTCGTGCCGCACATGCCGGTCTTGCGTACCATTAACCGCAGTGTGTGGCTTTCCTGGCCACGCCGTGGCCGGCCTTTTTACTGCCGTCCTACCGGAAGAAGCCCGRCATCCGCCCCTACCGAGACCAGTCCATATCCATTCGTCCAACCTCCGGTCCCCTRTGACACATAGTCAACTCAGTATTGTGCGACCCACACTATGCGACCCAAAAAGAGGTCGGCTTTCAGAGGGTCAGCCAGGACTCCTTCCTGGCCGTAGTCCTTCTAGTTACACTTATGTCGGCCACGACTTTATCAGTGGTCGCGAGACTGCGGCCCACACAGTCCGGTCTAAACTCCTAAGTTACCCGGTAGTCAAACAACTCGCGCATGCCCGCAAATTGCATGCTCACACACTCTCTAATCAAGCTATACATACGCCTGCCACTTCTGACATACAGTAGTCAGTCGCGGCTGGCGACAACCCCCCCATTCTTTCATGTATCGGCTCAATCGCCTCTTCTGCAAGGTGCAAAAACACGCACATTTACCCTTGTAAGGGTAATGGTGCCGACAACGCGCACGACAAGTTGAGTCAGTGCGAGGTCTCACTAGCAATGAGGATTGGATCTAACGGCTGAATCTGGACGCGTTTGTGAGGAGGTGCAGAAAATCGCTATTGATCTGTGCTTTTCTGCATGTATGTGCAAAACATATTCAGATTCGCACTTAATCCGACCCTCTCTGCTAGCGGGAGCTCGCCCAAAGACCGTCAACATGCGATTTAGCATTTTGCCGTAAGAGGCAAAATTCAAATGTTATTTCTTCTTTTTGCCACAAAATACTGTAATTTAGGTGCTAAGTCGTGGGGATGAACCTGGTCAGTAAAATCGACCAGCTGCATGCACTCATACAACATAGGCGAGAGAGAGAGAGAGAGAGAGGAAACGATCGTCCTGTAGGCACGAGAGAGATTGTGAGTTAATCAGCTTTACCCTGTCCTCCACGAGTAGCAAGTGCGCAGACACACACACACACACACACACACACACACACACACA